ACTGTTGTGACAGTGGTTTCTAAAAAGTGTTTGGTGCCTCTGAAGATGATCCAAATGGATCAAAACATGTAAGGCTAGTGAATCATCAAGTGAGAAAACTGAAATAGTCACATTGGACAGACTTGTCTTTTGTAATTGTAACTGTTAGTGTGATATTACTGTGGTGTAATAAATGTCTTGTGTATAGAATGTTGTTTACATGTGATACTAGAGTCATAAATTATTAACATCAAACATTCTTTGAGCTGCTTCAGGATACAGTGAAATCATCAGTTAAGATCTACTTAAGGAGAACTGGATCTAAACACTGAACTGAGGAAAATATCTTTAATGAAGGAAATTTAACTCTGAGATTATTAGTTTGAGATTATTGAAGTTGAGCATCAAATGAGGAAGAACCTAAAAGCCGTTTTCATGATTTGGGAACTTAATGACTGCATAGACGGAACAGTGTAAATTCTTGCCATAGAAAGAATGCCTTTATCATGACAAACATTAAAAGCACAGTACTGGCTGGACCATCAAAGGGAAAGGCTGGTTGTGTTCACCACCTTCTCTGCTGTGACATCAATCATTTTCCGAGCAGATAATTTAAACATGTGCATCAGTGGATGAGAGTTACATTCCCTCCTCCCATGATGTAACATCATCACAATCCCTTGTCCTCGGTAACAGTTCTCTACTGTCAGTTTGCCATACAGCCAGCAGCAGAAGGCACAGAAATGTCCCTCCTACTTCAGAGTTTGAAGGTATCTACATGATCTCCTAGAGCGTATGACCAACTGGCAACATGTGAACCGTCAGAGAGACATGGAGTAGCTGAGTGGGAGAAGATGAAAACTGGTTTGTACATTGCTGCAGACTTCCGAAACCTGCTTACACCAATTTCCTTTTTCCAATCGCAGTACATATACTTAACATACATGAAAAACAGCAAAGAGTTGCTAGACAGTAAGCATAATATACACACACAAGATGCATGCAAACAGCAATACTGGTACATTCAGGTAACAACAAATTACCTCAAAGCCTACAAAATAGTCCAATATTTATACAGCAACATATAATGTAATACTACATATTTAACATCTATATTAAAAACAAAAGAGAACAAAAACTCACAGGGTCATACATATCTACTTGCCTGATATAGGGGTTAAAGGTATTTCACATCCTACTGATGAGAACAAAACAATTCAACCATTGGAAACCTGCAGTTCATCCAAACATTTACAAATTCAGACCCTACTTCAGAGAAAACACTGTCTCTCCATGACACCCATCAATCAGTTAATGCTGTTTAAGGAAATAACATACTGTTAGAGTCATACAAACCCATTAAAACACAATGTGGGCAAATTGCAAGCTTCCTTTAATGTTATAGCAGGCAGTAAACATAGATACCAATTTACAGTTATCTGTACACGAGTCACATCAGGATGTGACCACAAATACTCCCTGAAAAACTAAAGATGATTACGGTATGCCAGCTATGAAGTATGTAATTAAAAAACAAATTATATTATGTATACAAGGATTCAACTGGGAACTAGAAAATACACATCAATTCTAAATAATATTAAAGAAATGGGTGGCACAATGAGATTTCAGCATATCACTAACAATTATGACTTCATAATCTGGTGAGCAGAGCTGACATTTCAACTCCAATTTGCTGTACTTATAATATGATCTAAGCCATTGAAACACAACTAAACAAAGCTTTGCTTCTTACCATCTCTCACATCACCTGCCTCTATTTCTGCGAGTCCATTGGCCATGGAGTCTAGACCCTCATTCTCTGAACGAGACTTAGCGCCTGTTGTTTCATATGGTTTTGTCTTCCATCCACCTCGCACAAAGTTGTTCAGATTTGCACTTGGGTCACTCAGCCGCCTCTGTGTCAAGAAGGAAACAGCGTTAGGGTACCGACAGTTTGCCTCTAATGAATTTCATTCTCTAACGAACCAAGTGTTGGCTCAGAGGTAAAGTTCCCAACTTAAAGACTGAGAACGTGATAATGTGCTGCCTGATCAGGGCTATGGCACACCTCAGGAGCCACTGACAGATGAGCATGGACGAATGAAGGAATCATGATTGATGAGAAAAAACCAACCATATTCAGAGAAAACCTTGCTCCAATGACTTCAAGCCAAACTCCATACTATATGAAGTGTTAAGATATTAAGGATGTTTACAAGAATACATGTTCAAAGAAACATGAGGCAACTGTGTGATAAAGAAATTACATTAATACTGTCCTGGTGACTAATACTATGGAGGATGAGACAAGTTGCTCAAAAGGAGAAATTTCCTAACTGGCGAAGTAACTATCAATTTTTCATGGAATAAAAGGTAAAGGTAAAGTTGTTCCTGTGCTTAATTAATTAAGCACATCATGAAGATGTATGAGAGGGATGACATATAGCACCACCATTCTTCACCTCGGCACTAGGCGGATGTCAGCAGTCAGGTTCATGCCCTGTCCACTTTACCCCCCCCCATACCTGCTGCAGAGGAGGCTACTTCCTGGATGCTTTCTATAACAGATATGGTTCTCTACACAGCAACTCTCCAAGTTCCATGACAAAACTGTGTTTGCATTTATCATTTCCCCCATGCATGCTTATGCCTCATATCTCATCCTCTCATTTATCAGGTTTACTCCCAATCTGAGGTTGGCCACTTTCCAGTGCTTTTGCCCTGACTACCATATCTGACCACAGCACATTGTGCACTCACACAATGTGCTTTGATTATATGATGTTTTCCTCTGCTGCTAGATGTCGCATCTAGCTACCTTATGCAGTTCTATGGGCAAACACAGTTCATTTCCTATTCATTTATTTAGTGAAATGTTTCAAATCATTAGCTAGCTGCGAAAAATGGCCAGAATGGCAGATAAGCTACCAATAGTGATGCTAAGAGTTTCTGGAAATTAAACTGTTAATCATTCCGACTGTATGAGATGAACATTGTATGTTATGAAGTTCCTATGAAGTAATTTCCACCAGCCTCATATTACATCTTCACCCTTGGGCCCAAATATCCTCACCATCCTGTGATAAAACAGCCTCAGTTTACATTCTTCCCCAAGGGCAACAGACATAACTTCACACCCACATAAAGAAAGCAACATTGCTTTGCACTGTACCTGATGTCTATAGACATAGAACTCCTCTGGGTCTTCATCCCAGTCGGAGTCCCACATGTCCGTTGCACACAATCCCGGTTCAGAAGTAGGGGTTTCTGCTCCAGAACCTGCACAGAAAATGTTCCCATTACATTAACAGCTTATATTTAGCCAGAGTGAAACCAACATCTAAGGTTTTCTTGAAGAGCAGTCAATTTGAAACATTTTAACACAGAGCTTAATGACTTGGGCTCAATGAAATTGAACTTTACATGAAAATATCCATAAACCAAGGGACATGAAATAAGGGTTCCCTATGGTAACAGAACCTGCAGGTTCAATGCTGTTGATAGCCTGCCACTTAACATGATACTGGACCAGTTCCATACACCTCCCATCCTCAAAGTCTATTTCCAAAGACCCATTATAATGCTGCTTGATTCAAGATTCTGCGGCACTGACGACAAATATTACTGTTGTCTAGCATGTGATGCACTGTAGTCTGGTACATAGTTATTAGCAGGGCCCAGATTTTGATGACATGTCATTTTTTCTTCCTTGTATCCTATGCGATGCTATTAAATATATAAACCTTGTTGTTACAGAAATGTAAATTTTATAGGTAATTTTTTGACATTTTTAGGTTTAAGGTCTTTTTTTCATTTGGGGGGGTAATTTTTTAGACTTTTAAGGGTATTTCTTGTCATTTTTGGCCATTTTAGGGAATTTTTCTTCATATATTTTCTGAAATGTGAATAACATGGAAGCGAAGTGTTCTTTCTTTTCTCCTTTAGGTCATTTTTCTGGATTATTTCGGTCATTTTTTAATATTTTCAGGTCATCAAAATATGGGCCCTGGTTATTGGTCATTAGAAAGTTACTAAATTCCATTTTCAACATACTGTTACGTGAGCTGAAGGGGAGGGGCCACAACTGCTTGCACCTCTTTTTCTTGACACACTGAGACTGTCCCTCCCCCTCCACCCCCTGGGACTTTCCAGGAAAGCAGAGGGCTGCCTTATTTATGTTAGTGCACAGATGTTCTCAAAGTTCTAACATGTATAAAACTGTTATTGCATGAAAGGAACAGAACGGTCTCAGTCTGAGAACAAAAACAGCAGTGTGCAGAGATCTGAGTTGATTCCCACGCCTGACAAGTGATTTTTCTCTTAAGAACAGCGTAGAGACTGGTTCTAGGGGCCACCAAGTCTTCTACCTGGTGGTACAGTGAAATCTTCCCTTGCCAGCAAAGCAGCCAAGGAGTGAAGCTGACCACTCACCTCCTTCCAGTGTTAAGGTTATGAACGCACGGAGTTACATCTGCACTCCATGTGTGTCTCCACGATATCATGGGAACAATTTAACGTTTTCTTTCCCTTGTATTACTTCCTCCTCCTTTGTCCAAATACATTTCATTAGGAAATTAAATCTGAAAATTAGCTGGAGGAAGTCAAACATTGAGAGAAAATAAACTGTTACCTCAGAAAGTGACCCATTTATTACAGAAAATATTAAAGAGAAATATTCTCTGAAAATTTCATTGTACTGAGTGACTAATATAAAAATCTTCTAGGTCACGATGTAGCTCAGATGGTTAGTAAGTAGATTCCCACTGTGGCAGCCCAAGTTCAATCCCAGTTCAGTTCACATGGGATCTGTGGTGGACAAAGTGGTACTGAGGTAGGTTTTCTCCAGATACTCTGACTTCCCTTACCAGTGCTCATTCCACCAACTGTTACACATTCATTGATCATCCTATCATGTGACACTATATAGTACTGGTACTGACAGCATCATTATATAACCAAACTACAAAAATGTTTCCAATCATGAGTTCAAAAATAATTTCTTAAACTGGAATGTTTAGATTGGTACCTTTAGGTTTTGTAACAGCCATTTCTGCATGGCCCTTTCCTTGAGGGCCTTTCATGCGAACAAACTCTACTCGCTGAGTTGTGGCACCAGAGAACAGTCCAAATGTCATCCGCTGGGCCATCTTACTACTGAGACTGGACTGTAAGAAACAAGTAATAAAAACCTATCAGAAGACAATTAAATAACAAAAGTACTATTCATTTAACTCAGCTGGTGCCCTGATATGTATGGACATTTAATTATCAAATTTAGGGGTACACATTCAATAAATGCACTAGTAAAATTTGGTAAAGGCCGCGCCATAGCTTGAGCGGTTAGTCGCTGGCTTCCCACCACGGCGGCCCAGGTTCGATCCCGGGTCTGGTCAAGTGGGATTTGTGGTGGACAAAATGGCACTGGGGCAGGTTTTCTCCGAGTACTTCGGTTTCACCTGCCAGTCTTCATTCCACCAATTGCTACACAATCATCCTCACCTATCATCTGGGGCTGGTACAATAGGCCAGAAGTGGCCGCAGTACAAGGGACTTAGTCCCACCCCACTAGCAATAAAAAAAATTTGGTAAATCTTATTTAACAATACTGTCATGTTTGAGTGACTACAGATGGGATTCAGATTAGTGATCAGATGTACTGGCATAACACACAACTCATGACTACCCTTTACAAATGACTATCATGAAAAGAGTAGTGTCCTCCGTCACCCTCTTCACTGCACCGCTGGATAACATCTTCCAACACTGGACGTTCCTCTGCTCCCAGACTCACATCTTCACAGGTTGGCAGTCACCTCACACCAAGCTCCTGCTCTTCTAACTGCTTTCTCAAGACTCTGTCTCATAATGGCAGCTGACAATCACTTTATAGCCTTGGCAACGACCACACACAAAACACTGATTCCAACAGCACTTCTAATGTTGTGTGTTTTGTGTGTCTGTTGCGCCTAGCAATGGGTGTGTCTGCAGAGGCGTTCCCTAGCAATATCTCTCTCTGCTGGCTTCACAATTACGGCTTTCAAGCACACAGGCCACGATATCAGACACAAGACTTAAAAGCCATTAAAAGCAAGTCTCATAACTCACTTCCATTTCATAAGTTGAGACATGTTCTTAAGTACCTAAGTGACCTAAGAAAGTTTAAAACTTTATCGCCATGCCAACTGCTGACTGTATAAGCTTGGGTGTGAAAATGAAACTCAAAGCCAAACAACATGCATCTGTTGTTGGAGAAAGTTTCTGAGATTACACTTTGGGTCGTGTTCATACAGATGAACTTCTAAGGCCAACAGCACTAACATGATAGACAATATGACAGTTAACTTGCAAAATTACTTGCATCACATGCTAATACACATGTAAACTCTGTAACACTAACAAATATGTATATTTGTTCCAAATGTCTTAAAAATATTAATTAAGAATTACGTCTGGCTGAATTTGGTTTTGGGGGCAGGTTCATTTAATGATGTTTTCACAATGAAGACTACATACATGATCAAATAATTAGAAAGAGTTTGGAAGGAAGCAGTTGTGACCTAATCAAAGCACTATCCCAATGTTTTCCCAGGACTCAGAAAGACCCTGGAATCCTCAAGTCAAGACAGCCAGTGACCCAGCCAATATCACAACCATGCATCTCAAGAGTACAAATCTACACTGCAGTCTCTAGATTAACCTGTTCTGTGAATTTGTTGTTGCTTTGCATTTAAAAAATGTTAACATTTGTACCAAATTTCATAAGGACAAAATTTTGGTGGTGTATGTGATTAAAGATATATCAGCTGCAGAAATGATCCTTTGTGCATTAGTCTTTACTAAGTCAAAACTCAATGAATCTTATCACGTATCACATTTCAACAACAGTCTGGACTTACAGGGATAACTGTTCATACATAACAAAGCAATGTGTATTTATAACCACTGATAAAAATAAACTGTGTTGGGCACATCTTAGAGGTTATGTCACTACACAGTGATACAGATCATGATACCATCATTACAATGTTCCTCAGTTCTGTTTTCAACCTACAACAAGAATCAAAACTGCCATACTGGAGATCATGTTGAACATACTGGACTTTCTTCCAAGCTGCCTATTCAAAGTATGACATGAAATCAAAGTTTCAGACAAAATAACAACACAGTTCAATCTTTTACAATTTCAATCCTATATTCTCATTTCCAGAGATCATGATGCCCAGGCCTATATAAAATATGCTAAGGCCTGTGAAACATCAAATTTACTTTACAGGTAACATCAAAGCTTTCAGTCTGCAAACATACACACACATCCAATACCTCACCACCATCAGTGAGCCGATAGTCTGGAAAATGTGGGAGCCTCAACATCTCACAACCTTATGGCCCTCAACAGCCTGTTACAGGATAGCTTTACCTTTTTACATACATTTTCAATATGTGAAATGCTCAACAACCTACCCTGGCATCGTATACTTTCTTGAGTGCGTCATAGCGAATGGAACCAAGAAATATCACACCCTGTATTGCTCCATCTCTGTCAGAGGCCACCAGCTCCACACACACCATCTCACCATCTCGAACCAATATATCACAGAACACCTGTTAACACATTAACACCCTGCTCAATTATTCATTAACATAATTAACTCAATGGTGCAGTACCTTCCCCGAAAACCTCAGTTACTCAGGTGGTCAAGAGAGTCCCTGCTTTTAAACCCTCAGCATGGTGGCATTTAAACTATTAGTTACTGCTGTACTGTGGGTGCATTTTCTGCCTGGGGATTTAAATATTTGCTTTATGGCGCTAAATTTGTTTCACAAGGGCATTACTTCCCCAATAAATAAATGATCTGAATTACACTTTTGAAGAATATTCATTTTACACTGAAGTTTCCATAAATGAAATAGATTTTACCTTAATAGTTGAGTTTTGTGTGGTAAGACCTGAAGAAAACCTCATCACACAGACCAGTCTCACAATCAGGAAACCAAAACACGGTCTCCTTCCACTTTTTGTTCTTGTAACATACAACACACCTCTTTCTTGTCCTTGATTTCTTTTCAGCTGGAGGAATCCTCCCTGGGAAATGTTTTTCAAGAATTCTAGGCACGGTGTTGTCCACAAAATGTGGCCCTGGCACTTCTATTTCAACACCACCTCCATGTTGTACAAGTAAAGCCTAAACCATGTCAATTCTAACCTGCATGTGATCAATTCATTTCCCTTATGAATTTCTTCTGCAGATAATCGTGGAGTTCAGAATTGGGGCACTGAATAATCTGAACATTCTCATGTAGCATTTAGTCATCTTTCTTCTTTCTAGATGATAAGCATGAAGGAGCTGATATCTCATATAATCTCCTATCACACTTTGAATGTAGTTCAGAACTGAAACAGGTTCTTCTTTTTCTTCTTCCTGTTCTCCCACCTTTCTCAGTTCATCACCATGTTGTTGAGATAATAGTGACTTTTTTTTTGCCACATAATTTCAGCATAGACACTGGGCCAGAATGCTGAGCTATAATTTCCCCTATCCTGTTTTGTCTCTTTACTATTTTTAGTACATCTTTCCTGTTCAGGCCCAGAGTTCCAACACAATCAGTTTTCATAAATTTTAGTTTTATAGCCAGTGTGCTTAACTTCACAGTATTGTAAAACGACATGTTTCAATGGTCTGGGGCACAAAATAGCTACAGAGAACTTTTTAAGGATCCCAAAGTTTCATTAATATATTCACTAAAGCTTAACATTGGACCTTTCCCTAAAACAGTTGAACTCAGCCCAATCCTTTGCATCATATTTCTCTCAAAATCTGATCCATCTACATTTATGTCTTGCAAGTGGAATCTTCCCTTGACACTATCTGAGCAACATTTCTCATTCCTATCTCTCTTGTGCAATGCCATGTCCTGACTGCTACATCTCAGGTGACGAGAGAAAATGTACTGTAACCCTGATTATCTTTTCTCTCCACTTCTCTCTTACTTAAATTCTCAAAAACTCGATACCTTCTTAATTAACAAATGTCTTTAATGTTTCATCTTACATGCAATACTTTTCTAAAAATTTGTTTAAAAGTTACTACATGTCTTGGTTGAGACTCAAACTCAGCACTCCTTGAATGCAAGTGCAATCAGCTACTGCAAGACCAACTTGATCAGTAACTCTACGTCATGCTTGCAATTTTTCCTAGTAATCCATATTCAATACAGAGTCTTCTGAAAATATCCCAAATTTTTTTGAGTACTTACTATCTCAACCATGAAGGAGACAGCAGTTCTTCCAAAACACTTGTGACATTCATCTTTTCCACACAATGCGCAAAGATTTTGCAGCTGACTTCTAATTTATATTCTACACAGTCAACTTTATAAAGTTCCTCAAAGTGCAAACTGTTGCAAATGCAGGATTTGGAGCATTCTCCTTACCGTATACAAAAGTGTGTTAATATTCACATGTTTCAAACCATTAAGTCCATTACCACACTTTCCTACTGGAAACAAACAAAAATATATATTGCAACAGTACCAATATAATTTAAGGTTCTGAGGGAGGAAACTTAAAATACAAGAATTCGTCTGTCATACCTCATCAAAATTATCCACCATGAAGCAGATATGAGGGTATGTCATCTCTTCCACTTCTCCTTTAGTATCCATTCTTCTTCGACTCGGAGATGCATATACTTTCTGGAATAAACAGTGCTGCCAAATCAGATAATTAATACAGAAACCGCGTTATCAGCAATAAAAATAAATAGCCAGTCATGGTCAAGATGCATGCAGAAACACAGGTCTCCAGTAAAGTGTCTATTACTGCTGTCCAGTTTGAACCAGAATTTTTGGAATGCTCCCCACTACCTGATTCCACAAAAATTTATGCAGCAGTTCTCAAGCTGTACGTATAAGCAAATGGACTAACAGATATGGCAAACCAAATAGGCACATTCTTGCAACTTTTAGTTGCAGCTGTGCCACAAAATGTAATGCTTGGTGAGCTGGACCACATGCAAGTGACATTACAACGATGCAAAACAGGACCAATACAAATTAATTGCTGAATGGCAGTTTTCCACTTATGGGAGAGTTTACAGATTGTGTGTGCCAAAGTCCCTGATCTTAAAAACAATATCATGTGTACAGAATTTGCATGTACAGAAACCTGAAAAAATGTAAAGATAAATTATATAAAGAATAAACTAATGTATATACATTTTAATAATTGGAGAATTGAAAAAAGTTTTAAATGTGAAACTAAAGGAAAATACACAACAGGAAGATCAAGATCAAGATGGGAGTAACAAGTCAGGAAAAAAGTTACAAAGGAAGGAAGGGCAGGAGGAGAAAGTGAGGAGAAGGAACTATGGGTAGAAAGGACTGATTCTTACATATATCAGTATCCTGACTTGCTCCTCGCCCTATTGAATGAAATGCACATAATGTAGGTATCTTATTCAAGAGAAACAGCTGCTTACCTGTGAATGTCTCTTCAGAACTTGTAATTCTTTGGGGCTTGTTCGGGTGCAAATAGCAAGAGTTAAGGTGTAGTCGAACTGATGGATAATGAGATTTAAGTAAACAGTTTCTTCCCAGTCAATGTCTGGATCCCCTATAGGCAGCTTGCGACTATCTTTGCGAAACACATCTACTTCAGTCTGGAAACAACAGAAATTAACAAACTCCTAAGTTTTATCCCATTACTCTGAAGTCTGGGATATTTCCCAGAATGAATCATTATCTAAATAATTATAAATAACATAAATCCGTTCACTTCAATTAGAGTAATTAAATCACTAATGAATTTACATTTCTACACTGTTAACGTAGTTTCATGACAAAACCACACGTGATGAGCTACGTTAATTAACAATTTTACTCTCATTACTTTTTCCTTTAGCTTCTTCCCCACCACCTGGTGCTCTCAATGGGAGATGGTGAACTCTGTCTCCAAAACGATAATTTTGTCATATTAAGGTACATTTCTCTGAACAACTACAAACTCTACAGTCCTGTAATTTGGTACACAGGTATTTATGGGTTTATTTTACCACCTGAACTTCTTTTACATATATGAGACACAAAGTTACAAAGTTAATAGATATTTTTCTATTGGAAATGCTGAAAGAAATAGTCTTTGAGAAGAAAAATAAAAATAAACATGTCTTCCAGTACATAACTATAAAAACAGTTTGTAAATGCATAAAGCATATTTTTCTCCTTTCTGTATCCTCTACTGTATTTTGAATGAAATCATCATCTTTGCCAATGCTTAAATAACAGGTCCCATGGAAGGGAGCTACAAAAACACATCCTTTCACAAGGCGCGCGTGCACACACATACAAGTGTTATGTACAACCATGATTATACCCTCTGCTCAAAGTGAATAAAATTAATCCATAACAGAAATATACGGAAATAATATCTATCCAGTTGTATGCATTCTTCTCCAAAACTATGGTACACATTTTGATTAAATTTGGTACTTCCAGCTTACTGAGACTCTCAAATTGATTTATTTTGCCTATTTTCATTCTGTAATGAAGTACGGAATAATTTTTTGGGGTAACTCATCTTACAGCCAGAAGATATTCATCTTACAAAAGAAAATTGTTAGAATAATGGCTGGTGTTAAACCAAGAGAATCATGTAAAAATATCTTCAAGAGGCTAGAGATCTTAACTCTCCCATGTGAATACATATTCTCCTTAATGATCTTCATTGTAAAAAACCAAGAATTTTTTCCAACCAATTCTACAATACACAATGTCAACACAAGGAATAAAAATCAGCTTCACAGACCAGTTGCCAGCCTCTCTTGTTTCCAGAAGAGTGCATATTATACTGGCATTAAAATCTTCAACAATCTACCACCAAATATCACAACTCTTATAGATAAACAGGGACAATTTAAAGTAGCACTAAAGAGATACTTAATTACACACTCCTTTTACTCTGTTGAGCAATTTATGCTTCCAAACAACATAAAGTGTATGTAATGTTTTCTCTTGTTTGGAACACAGGAAAAAAAAAATCTGGTATATGTTAATGTATGGATTTATGACGGATATTTTACTACTTTTGTGAAATCCTTACTATTTATGTGAACTTGAATTGTGCATGTATATATGTATTGTATGATTTTTGACTAATTCCACATCCGGTAGGTCATCTGACTAACTCATGGATCTATGGAATGCTATGTATGTATGTATGTATGTATGTATGTATGTATGCTAAAAGTCATCAAAACAGATCTAATTTTGGCATGCATCAGTCAAACTCCTATTTTACATGAAACTCTAAGTGACTCAGGCCATACTACACTCAGGTTAGGGAAAGAACAAACACAGCTGTTGGGAATGCGCAAGCTGGCTGCCTGTTCCTCCACCCTACCTATAGCACATTTATTCTTTGTACAAAATAAATAACAAACTAAGACCACAAAGAGTGGCAGCACATGACTGGAATGAAAGACAATAAAAATGACAACAGGAGGAAGTGGGGGGTTGATGGTAGTTGTGTTCCTTCCTTCCCTGACTCAACTTTAATTCCATAGACAGGGAAACATTAAACTAAAGACCAGGAGTCATACATCTACCACTGTTACAATGATCAATTACAGCAGATTATGCTGGATGCTGCCCTTGACCTATAGACTTATAGCAAATTTGCTAAGCTGGATACAATTCTGTCTTCTGACCACTGGTGGTCATTATACTGGGACTGAAATTAAATGGGACACATCAGCTACCAGTCTATTCTGATGGTGTAAATCTGTCACAGGGTAATTTAGGTACCATAAAGAAAAAGAAACTCTTAATTGACACTAGTAAGGAGGCTGGTCTAAAAAGTAAATGCAAAGAAAACTAATTTTATGTTAATGTGTCATCACCATAATGCAGACCAAAATCATAACAGAAAGACAGGTAACAGATCCTCTGAAAATGTAGAAAGATTCAAACAACAGGGAATGATAGTAACAAATCAAGATTAGATTTGAGGAAATCATAAGCAAGCTGAATTCAGGTAATGCTTGCTACAATTCAGTCCAGAACCCTTTGACTGCTTACATAGACTTGAAAGGATTCTGACGATGGTGTATACTGTACTTCTTTTGGCTTATTTTGGACTTCACCCATCGTCCGGTATATAAAAAAGACAAAAAACCACAACGTTTCGGAGACTGGATCTGTCTCCGTCTTCAGGTGTATAGGGAAGGTTTAACCTACTCAGTTGGGCCCCTTAGAAAGAGCTAGTCTCAATCACTGGAC